TCTATCTATCTATCTATCTATCTATCTATCTATCTATCTATCTATCTATCTATCTATCTATCTATCTATCTATCTATCTATCTATCTATCTATCTATCTATCTATCTATCTATCTATCTATCATGTAGCTATCTATCTATCTATCTATCTATCTATCTATCTATCTATCTATCTATCTATCATCTATCTAAGAAAGTCTTAACCCATTTATATTATGAAATTAAATGTTCGCTTGTGTAAAATGATGGGTTTTGATATTCATGGGTACAATTGTGTAAATGTCCTTACGTTTTGTTGACGTCATTGATTCTCTTAATTGGTAAAATGAGAATCCATCGTTTATTTTTGACAACTGTAATATCATTGGATTTAAAGATATTGTCATTCCCGTAAAAATGTGCACAACCTATTGCCTACCCCCGATATATATGTACCTAAGACGTTAAATCATTCGTCAAATTCATTCTAAGGCGTATCTTGTGTTGCCGTGGGCTATTGAAACTATCTTATTACTTCCCTAACCCCCACCCCAACCAAACAGAGTTTAAATAAAAATTATCCACGATATTGTAACCCCTTTACTTACGCAAAAACATTTTTTTTTCTCCCCATTTTACATACGTTGTTCTTATTTGGATGAGTGATAAGTGTATTAGTGATGCTATTTGGAAATGTAGTTTCACTGCACTGACTGCATTAAACGGCATTTTCGTATTAAAAATATATGTACGTTTTTTACTACTTTATAACTTTGATAAAAGTTTTTTTTTTTTAGAAAGATTAAAACTTAAAAATTTTTAAATGTTAAAAATACAAAGATAAAGTTGTATTTAATTTTAGAAATCTTTAGCAATTTAAAAAGTCATCTATTATTTTTATTACTTTTACTTTTATGAAGGGGAAAATATATTATCAGTTTTGTTACGCACGGTTATAAAATAAAAGAAACTTAGAGCTGTGGCTAAAATAGGCAACATCGCTATGATGTAATAATTTAGATCAAATACATGTTTATTTTTATTTCGCAATATTGACAACGCACTCTAATACGCACAAAGATTAACAGCTGTTTGGTTTTTCCCGATAAATCTGATTAAGATGCAATTCTTAGATCATAATATTTTAAGTAATAATTTTTTTCATAACTTTAACATTCAGATAAAATCCTTAAAATAGTTCCTTGTGTGATACTTTAAATGTCTTTGTCATTTATAATAATAATACTTAAACTATTACTAAAATAAAATCGGATTTAAAATATTTTTAGCGCATAAAAATTTATTCGTTTTCCGTAAAAAAATAGAAAATAACGATAAATGTTTTTAGGAATCCGAACGTACTTAAATCGTATCTGTTCTTTCGAGCTATGTCACTCTACCTCATTCTTATATAATAGAATAAATGACCCGATGTTATCGGGATAATAATGGTAGAGCATTTGCGATAATTCTAACTGCTATTTCAAAAACTCTCACAATTCATAACTTTAAAAATGTTATTATATTTACGTTTCTAACATCATTAAGTTTTGAGAAGTATTTATCTGCTATCTATTATAGGCCTTCCATACTCTCTTTCACGCTACTTTTTCCCCCCTCTAAACATGACCTTAAATTACACAGTCTAAATTGTCACTAATTATATCACTTTTGTCGCTAAAGAAGTTAATTGAGGGACAATTACTACGTTAGAGAAATAGATTTACCCCTTTTCGTGCCCTTGAATTACAACTTTTTTTCTCTAATTTTTTTTTAAAAAACTTACCTTAAATTTACACAAAAAACTCAATGAAATAAAAATATCTTGTATTATAGGAATTCGATATATATCGATATCTTCAGCAAAAATGTAAACACATTTTTGCCTTTAAAAAAAAAAAAATTATACATTATCAGAATATCGTAAAATTAAGAATTCTTATATGTAAAGAAGAATAGCGCAACTGTTTTTCACGTCTATAACAGATTTGAGTGTTGTTGTATTTTTTTTTAAATTTAATGGTTAATCTCATAAAATACACATCTTTAAGTAAAAACAAAAATTTCATTTTTTGAAAGTAAATATAAACCCATATCTCATTTTCAAAATTAATTTTTCAAGTGTGTAAAATGATAAGGTTTTGATATTCATTGGTATACTTATTTAAATGTACCCAAGATTTGTTAACGCCATTGCTTTTCTTAATTAGATCTAGTAAATATATGTATATTTGT